TTCATATTAATATCTTTTTGTTAACATTCCAAAATCTGATTGAAATTACAGCACTTCCACGACAGGGGATAGCCTGTATTATCATATGGAAAGAAAATTGAAAACATTCTTTTATCAAGAAATAGCAAAGAAAATTTGATAAAAAGGAGAACAAAATAATGAAAGAGAGAGAGAGGAAGGGGGTATCTAACCACGTAACCTCGCCTCCCATGCACTAATTGTTCATGATAGACTTTGAACCTCTTGTAATGATGAACCTTTAGACAACTAAAGCTTCTCATCCTCGTCTTTGAAACTGCAACAGTTTTATAAATTTTAAAATTGCATATAAAATGGCAACATTCTTCTCCATGTCTGAACTTGTGTGACCCAATGAATATCCGTACACATATGAATAATTGGTGGCATTGCTTTAATGGAAAAATGAAGATAATGGACAGTGATCGGTTTCATAAATCGCTTAAACAATACAAATTGTCAACAGGACAAAAACACGGAGCCCTGGAAACACCAGAGGTAGGATCAGGTGCAAATGAGGAATAAGCATCCTTTGTTGACCCTATCACACGCCCTGAACCCTCGTATTTATCATATGAACGTATTAATCCGTAGTCAGAATTAGTATAAAACAATGGCTTAACAATTGGTATGAAACATGCCAACTAAAGTACGGCCCAACGTTTGTTTGTTTGCGAACAAGGCCATTATTACGACCTGAGATTTTGAGAAATGCTGAATTTAACACAGTTTTTGAAAACTCTGTAATATCAACTTATCAACTCAGTAGCCTGCCTTGGTTTAAAAATTGATAATACTCAGAGCATACTCTTGCGAACCTAATCAGCTGGGACACATAAACATCATATGCAAGGGAAATAAACGATAAAAAAGCTAAAGTCGTTCCCTATGTCATACGCTTTAGTTACTAGTTTGCCAATAACGATTATAGTTAGTAAAATACCTGATTATCAACAGATGCATTTGGTAGACACCATGGAGTCGTTTATTTTAATTTCAAAAGGATATATCTAGTTGACATACGAATGAAAATGACTAACGTCCTCAATATATCAAATGAAATATCAATATCTTAATATATTAAAATTGAAGAGCACAGCAAGAGTTTTCTTCTCAAGAAGAGGATTTGGAATAAATTCCGCTTCATAAGAATTTTAAAACAGGTCGGCTAATAAAGGGACACAATTAATAGTACTCATCGGAATTCAAATTATTGGAGAACCTGAACTCCAAAGACTATAAACAGTAGATGTTATCAATGAGGAACTCCAGCATTCTCTTGGTGTAAACTCCAGAGTACCTGTGTATAGAATCAGTGTAGGAGACCATTCACAAGACACACAAAAAATTCCGAGTTCCATTTTTATTGAAGCTGTTCTCTATGATGTCAAAAGCCTGGTCCTAAGTTTATCATGAGGAATGATTGTATGAAGTCATACGTTTTGATATAGTATTAATTTTTTTTTTTTTTAAATGTGAATTCAAATTTTCCGAAATTTCATTTCAGTTTTTTCTTTAAGAATTATTTATGCAATTCTCCCAGAGATATACAAGCTTATTTTTCTAATTCACCATAACGACATACACACAGGATTGATTTCATGAATCGCGATTTCTTTAAATGTGGCGTCATCAATTTGTCGATCAAGGAAATGGAGAATGGTGTAATTGTTTTTAGACGACGTATGTCTCTAGATAATTTACAGTGTGTCTGTGATGTACCATATGAATTGTATATATTAGCACATAATGTGGCTCCTAAGCTTAAAGCTCAGCGATCGATGGAGGTCTGTGCTTATATCTTGGGAATATCACTAGAAACGTGACAGGAAACACAAGAGGAGTAAATAAGAGATCGTAAATTTAGGTGAACTTCATCTTTGTGTTTTTACATTTGAAATAACATTCAACGGTAAAAGGTCTTCAAATTTCAAGCACCTAATGCCATTTTTTACGTTATACAAATCTGCTTTCAACTTTTGTCTAGTAGTGATCTATTTTAAATTCTAAATACATTAGGCAGAAAATTTAAACATACCCAAGAGAACAAAAAAGTTAGAGAAAATCCAGCTGTTTTTACTTAAAATACTTTTTTTACTTTTACTTAAAATGGTTCAAGTTTTTGAACTTAGAAGATATAATAATAAACCATCTTTTGCAATGGTAATGATGTACCCCATCGATTATGTGTTTTGATTATCTTAGAATTTTAGAAAAAAACAAGGGGCCAAGCCTGAATCCACAATATACGGAGATACTTAATTTCAAATGACTGTTCTGGAAAAGATTGGTATTCCCCCCCCCCCCCCCTCAATACATGTATCATGTAAATCTTTTATTCCCAATTTTAGCCTGTCCTAACCCCAAGGTCCATTATTGATTGATTGATTGTATGTTGTTTAAAGTCCCATTCGAGAATTTTTCACTCATATAGAGACGTCACCGTATCCTGGTTAAGGGCTTCAAATTTATACTTGGCACTCAGGGCATTGAACAGTGGATCATTATCGTGTCAACGCCTACCCTGACGCGGGACCTCGGTCTTTTAAGTTTCATCCGAAATACCCTTGATTTTTACTTCTAGTGCAGGGCGCTTGGAGAAGGAACAGTCACTATCTATATTTACGTCTTAGGTTGACGTGGTGCGGCGAACGAGAATCGAACCCGGGTCTCCCGAAGCGAGAGGTCCATTATTTGAAAAAAAAAGAAAAAGAAAACAAAACAGTGTCCACAAGACTAGAATATTTGCATACAATTATGATTAAATGTGACCCTGTTAAAAATGATTTTAAAAAAATAATAATTCCATAAATTCCTGGCTAAACCCTTATCCCTACTTGAACACAATCCCAGTCCCAAAGACAATGATTTGAGCAAACTTTAATCTTCACTGCCAATGGAATGCATGCACATTGATATGAATAATTGAGGTTCAGCAGCTGTTTTTGCGCAAAGGATTTTAAGAATACCCGGTATGTTTGCATTTATATTAAATCCCTTAGTGCCCCCTACTCGAAAGGCCTTGACTTAATCAAATTTGAATCTGCACTACTTGTTCTTTATGAGGATACTAGCAAAATAATATGATTGATATTGTGGCTAAGCTGTTATTCGTCAGAATTTCGTCGATTTTAAAAAATTGCTATATTTTTTTTTTTCTTTATTGTTGTCCCACCCTACCATCCAAGGCAATAATTTGAGCAAACTTGATATTGCACTCCCTGAAGATGCTTTTATATAAATTTTTCAAATTATGGCTATGCTGTTTTTGATAGAGGATAAGTTTTACATAGAAATATATTAGAAAGAAATCTTCTCAAGTAGAACAGATTAACAAATTAACTCATAACTCACAACCATAGGTAGTTTAGATTCAAATTAATTCAAATCATGGCCAAGGAGGTAGGATGGACGCGCTTTTCATCCTCCAGAGCAATATTATCACATGCATATTCGATATTGATAATCAACACCCCCTTATAATGTGGATTCAAATTTTGATAAGTCATGACCCCTTGGAGCTAGAATGGGGCCACAATATGGTGGGAAACATTTTTTAAAATATAGAGGGAAAAAATCTGAAGAAGAACAGTACGACTGATATAAATCAGGTGAGCGTTGTGGCCCAAGGACCCCTTGTTTGTTAGAATGCAAAGTTTAGGAAGATTTTTTATGGAGTATATGATTTGTTTATTTTAGAAAATCTTGAATTTTATGACATTTATTTGTCAATCAAAAATCATTATAACCTTGAATTGAATAACAATTCTGTTGATGAACAGTTCGAAAATGATTTTATAATTGAATGCATACTTTATACATTGAAAGAACGTTTAGCTCTCAAAATTCTCTGTAACTTGAATCAGCTCATGCTATTAGAAAGATTGTTGCAATAAATTTGTTCTGAACGATTTTTTTTCAATAAAAACGCGAAACAGCTGACGTACAAGAAAAGCAAATCACTAAATTTGCTGACAGCGCAGTAACTGGTTTTGGTTCTTCTTATTGACTGACATTTGCCATGATATATACATACAGTGAAGATTTTTATCAGCATGATCAACTTTAAAATTAATTAAAAATTACTTTAAAATTAATTAAAAAATCGTTCAGAACAAATTTATAGCAAAAATCTTTCTAATAGCATGAGCTGATGTTTCTTTCTAGATTTTTTACCATGCTTCACATGTACAAACAATCAATAAAACACAAGAAAAATGAAAGCACCTTTTATATATAAAATTAAAATTTTAAACAATACTCTCTCCAGATACAAGTATACATTACTAAAATCACAAGTTTCACGGTTTTCAACCTCGGTCCATTCAATCAGTTTTTACAACACAAGTTTTGAACATAATTTACTAGTGTAGAAGCTGATATACATAAATTCTATCAATTGGTGTTTCATATCAAAGCTGCCATATAAAACAAATTTATCACAAATAAATACTTCTCGCTGATTGTCCTTACTGTCATACTAATAAAGGTCCTTATAAGTAACATTTACCAAAGCATTGGCAATACATGTAACACTAAATTCAAAGAACCAGCAATTTGGTCCCATGGTGAGCAAGATTCACTTAATATTTATTTTAAGAATGATGTATTTGCCTTCACTATTGAATAACTGGTCAAATATTAAGTCCCCATTTCTGACCCCGCCCACGGCAACCAAATAAATTTCCAATAGATGTTCAAAAATAAAAATATGTCTCTTTTTGACATCAAACATTCTTTTTTCATTTAAAATGTAGTGACTATTTTTATAGAGAGAAAAAAAAGAGATTTTGAAAATTTGAAAAAAAGGGGGAAAACTGTACTGCCATTATATTAAGATCATACATGTATACTTCAAGGTATATTCAACAACTTTCAATATCATTTTACAATATTATTAATATCTTTTAAATATGTGGAGAAAGCGTATACAATGGTGTTCTTAATAATAAAAACCAAACCATTTGTTATTTTGTTTGTATAAAAAATGCACAACTCCTATCAATGTATATATAAACTTTCAAAAGACTGGAATGTACAAATTAATGATTAATTAAAAGTGATATTTTTTAAACAAATTAACTTTCTGCACAAAACCAAACTACACAACAAAACTCCAAAAAGATAACAAGATTGTGAGAAAATAAGATAACAAATTGAATGTTCCTATATAATTATAAATTTACCCTTGCATTTTCTGAACAAACAAACAAATATTATATGTTAATAAAGACTAGAACTTAAAGGACTTGTACTTATAATTTAAAAAATATGACAAATGTACGCTTATGTACTGACTTTAACAGAAAAATCCACCGATTGCCTTGATGAGGAATGATTTGAGAAATAAACTTTTTATCGTGTCTAATTGCCAGGTATCGACTTCCTTTGAGTTTATTCGTTTGATAGTCACATGGTACACTGACGTCATATGCGCAACGACTTCCAAAGCTCTCTATATAAGTACAAGGCTTCGGTAGTTTTTGTGGAAAAAAATAAAATTTTATGTATTATGTATCACTCAGAGGAGTCGCGCATATGACATCTCAGAACAAAGCGCAAGAAATCGCTTTTGCATTTTTTACAACTGAAAATTCGATAAAACAACAGAATTGTTAGCTAACATTTTTCGATGGTGGCACAACAGAATCAGGTAAGGTCTTTCATGCATATTGCAAGATTCAAATTTTGAAGATCTTAAAACGCGCACAAAATTTCCATCAAATTTTCAAAGTACTTTCTATTAATGTAATTAAAGTTAACAGATTCCTGGGGGGAAAATATCGAAAATTGTGTATATGCATAAATTTTTCAAGTAATAAGAAATATTGAATTTAAAAAACTTTACAAATATGGAATTTTTGCTTTTATATACTGCATACGATTTTGATTAGTTATTTTTTTCTATTAAGAAATCATCTTTGATCCACATTCAAGAAGTAGTTTAATTTCTTCACCTCATTTTTATCTGATATCTAAATTATTTTTCACACCAATGTTTGAAAACAAAACAGTATTCAATTTTAACATTATAACAAGGATTTTGCAAGCATTTTAAATATGTATGCATTTCTAATTTACAGATGAAGAAAATGTCTGCATTAGTTCTTTCTTCTTCAATTTGTTCTTCTTTAAATCATTGACACAATCTAGCTATACTTATAAGAGCAACTGCTATTTGTCCCACTCAAGTCTTGGTCAAGTTTAAATCATTGAAACAAGTACAGATAAGAAATTTTGAAACATTTAACGTATAGTTCTATCTACTACACCAAAATACAACAGCCAGGCGATCACCAGTGTCTGAAGATTGACATCTACCAAAACAAGAAAAAATGGCAAAGTTAGTATACTATTCCATTTAAGATTGTTTAAATAATCTTATTGAAATATGGCTTTTGCTTAGAGTAAAAACAGGCACTTTGGTCATGGTTCATGAATAAGCAGAAACCTAAACTAAGGGTTCAAGTTAATGATGGGTGGGAAATAGTATCTGTTGCTGAAAGAGATTTATTTTTCCAGAACAAGCAATGTTTACAAGCCATTTTTTTGAGCTTGCATAGTAGCTCACAAAATTTTCGCAGTCTGATTTTCGCGAGATTGTTGTTTTGTATTTATAAGCGAAGCAAAATTTTCACGAATGTTGGTTATTGCTCTTTGTAATCTTTAATAGTAAAGTTATACAAGAGACTGAAATATTCGCGAGCAGTCGGTCTAACGTAATTATGCAAAAATAAAATTCTCGCGAATGAAAAGTGATTTACAGTACGAGTATAGGCATCATGCATATTCATGAGCCATGACCTAAGTACATATGAGTAAAAAGTGAGAGAAAAAAATCTTTTAAAACTTACATAATTTTTTGGAAGAGTTTGATTCCTTCTGGTGCTGATTGGTTGGGCTCGAGGTTTGGAATGTAACAGAAAAAGATTTTGTGTTCGGTTCATAACTTTGGCTAGCTACAGTGGAAGGATCTATACTATTGGCGGCAGTAGATGTCGTGAGGTGTTTACAAGATTTATACCTCTGAATTTTAGTCAAGTCCTCGTCCGTGATATGACAATCATAAGGGCTTTGGAACAAAGGGGACTTAAGTTCCATCATTTTATCTAAACACATCGGAGCCACATTCCCAACACACAATAGAAAATCAACAAGGCTTCTGTAAAAAATGGGCAAAATATGTCAATTTATAACAGTGGGCATTATATATAATAATACTTTGATCAGAAAGAAAAACCACACACATGCCTAGCTGCAGAACTGTAGCTCTCTGCTTGAGAAAATTCGGACAGACAAAGCAGAGAGCTACAGATCCATCATCCAAGCGTTGTATAAACCTTCGATTTACGCCGCCGCTTTTTTGTCGCTCGCTTCGGGTATTATTTCTTGTATTTAATGCTTTCCCCTGCTTTAAAAGTGGTATCCAATAATTATCCATATATTTTACTCCTATTCCTGACACTTTATTTACCTGTCAACAGTTCCAGACGGCCGTAATATCAGTTTAAAAAATGCATTCCGACGTCGACGTTGGTGTCATCCTGAAACAACACGCCCGAGTTTTATTTATCTCATTTCTTTTTACATACATGTTGTTTTCTAATCTTTATAGACAATATACATGATATTTAAACCTCCTGAAATTTTTATTTACATTTTCTTGACAAGTACATGTTGTTTGAATTACTTCTTTTCGCACAACCCCCAATAACATGGACGTCGGAATGGGAATTTTTTAAACCGACATTTCAAAACCATAAAGGGCTGTTTGAGACCGTTGAAAGGTAAATAAAGTATCAGGAATAGGAGTAAAATTGGATACCACTTTTAAAGCAGGGGAAAGCATTAAATACAAGAAATAATAGCTGAAGCGAGCGACAAAAAAGCGGCGGCGTAAATCGAAGGTTTTTACAACGCTTGGATCTGTAGCTCTCTGCTTTGTCTGTCCGAATTTTCTCAAGCAGAGAGCTACAGTTCTGCAGCTAACACGTGCCAAGTATTCAAGATTTCAAAGCCAAGGAAGAGAATTAATGAAAAGCTGTGTTTAAAAAAAAAAACACAGCAATTGCAGCAATTATCTAAATACGTGTAGATCAACTGTATTCACTTTACTATACTTTAAAGTTATGCTAAATTTTACTTGAGAAAATATGATGATTTTATATTCGGTGATTATGGAATTCCATATACGACAGCCAACTGCTCACTGCCAACTGCTCACTGCTTACTGCCAACTGCTCACTGCTTACTGCCAACTGCCACACATATTTGAATAAATTTTCATATTTATATTGATATTTATGTGAATTTTCATAAAACCAGGCGCGGATCCAGGATTTATTTTACAGGAGGGGTCCACCCCAGTAAAAAAAAAAATCCAACCCAGAAATTCTTGACAAAAAAAAAACAAAAACAAAAACGTAAACTCCTTTCCTAAACGTAAAAAACCTCTTTCGGTGGGGTGGGGGGTGGGGGGTGGGGGGGGGAGGGGTTGACATCTTATGCTTTATATCTATGACTTTTCATATCAACTTAACACGGATCCACGTTTTCAAGGGGGGGGGGGGGGTCCAAGGTCATCGTGGCTTTTAGTTGGTTTAGTATATACATTAAATAACTCTACAAATTCCAGGGGGTGGTCCGGACACCCACCCACCCCCTCCCACCGACCCCCCCCCCCCCTCTAGATCCATGTATGTAAAACATAACTTGTTGGGAAAACAAAGAGATATAGATCTTTAATTTGAGAAAATATTTCACTATAGAAATTAACGGAAAATAGAAATTTATTTTCAAAACATTTTCCCCCGCGAAACAACAGATCCTTTTTCAGTTTTATTCATTTTCAAAGGTTTTGTTGTCTCACGGAGGGGGGGGGGGTGTTTTTGAAGATTAAAAACAGGAAAATAGTCATTTTATTACCAATTTCAAATGAGATAACAAATTAAAAATGTACTTTATCACTTTATCAATTTCATATGTTAAATTTTACATAAGTTAAAACATACGGTGAGATTTAAGAGTCATTTATCCATTTTCATTTTCATGAGTATTTGAAAATGGTGATGTTTTCAACCTGATTTCAATTGATAAAATTTTCTACCCCCTTATGAAAAGAGTTGTAAATAAGAGCAATTAACTTTTTGTCACTGGTTTTTAAAATTAGTACTTAATACTAATGAACTTTTCTTTGCATTCAAACAAGTTTTTATGTCCAAATTGCCATTTATATGAAATTTATGAATTAAATAGACGGAAAATGTAGGCGGAAATCGAGAGTTAGTGTGCGTAGTTCTTACAATAATAATAAAATTTGTTGGATTTAGGAATTTTTAAACTGTAAAGGCGAGGAAGGAGTAAATCGGAAGAAGGAGTATTTTCTCTTTAAAAAAACAAAACATTTAATTTCTGTATTTCGCTGCAGGCAAATAATTTGATAGCTTTTTTTGATGCGGGTAAAAGGGGGGGGGGGGGTCACATACGACAAAGAAAAATGTGTATTTATAATAGAAATATTACTGAAAGTTAAAATAACAAATAACTTTTGCCTAGTTTAAGATATCGAGTAATATCTTTCGGGATTTTCTTTTTACCCTAGGACTTTAAAGTTAGAATTTCCAATTTTAAAGTTGGAATTACCAATTTTAAAGTTGGAATTACCAACTTTAAAGTTGGAAAAGCCAACTTTAAAGTTGAAATTATCAATTTTAAAGTTCGAAAAGCCAACTTTAAAGTTGGAATTTCCAACTTTAAAGTTGGAATCACCAACTTTTAAAAAAAAAAACATTACGTGGCACTAATACGCTTCCGTAAGGGAGAACTACTGTATATAGAATATGTTGGAAATTTAGTGGTTACGGCCCTCCCCCAACCACCACCACCACGAATGTTTTTTTACAGATCTAACAGATCAAACATTAGCCATTAAAACGATTTACATATTAAGACACCTGTAAAAATTCCCACACGTAGGTACTTTTCCTAGGGTAAAAAGAAAATCCCGAAAGATATTACTCGATATTTTAAACTAGGCAAAAGTTATTTGTTATTATATCTTTCAGTAATATTTCTATTACAAATACACATACCTACGGAAGCCGGTAGGTGCCAGGTAGAAAAATATTTTATCTGGCGGCCGCCAGATAAGTTATCTGGCGGCCGCCAGAAAGTTATCTGGCGGCCGCCAGATAATTTCTGGCGGCCGCCAAATTACTTTCTGGCGGCCGCCAGATAAGTTATCTGGCGGCCGCCAGAAAATTACTTGGCGGCCGCCAGATAAGTTTCTGGCGGCCGCCAGTTTTTTATGTGGCGGCCGCCAGATAATTATTTGGCGGCCGCCAGAAAGTTATCTGGCGGCCGCCAGATAAAATATTTTTTCTACCTGGTACCAACCGGCTTCCGTACATACCAAATGTTACTCAAGACCCTTTTAAAAGTTTGTTCTTTTGTCGTATGTGACCCCCCCCCCCCTTTTACCCGCATCAAAAAAAGCTATCAAATTATTTGCCTGCAGCGAAATACAGAAATTATATGTTTTATTTTTAAGAGGAAACATCCCCTTCTTCCGATTTACTCCTTCCTCGCCTTTACAGTTTAAAAATTCCTAAATCCAACAAATTTTATTATTATTGTAAGAACTACGCACACTAACTCTCGATTCTCGCCTACATTTTTCATCAATTTAATTCAATATAAATGGCAATTTGGACATAAAAACTTGTTTGAATGCAAAGGAAAGTTCATTAGTATTATGTACTAATTTTAAAAACCAGTGACAAAAAGTTAATTGCTCTTATTTACAACTCCTTTCATAAGGGGGTAGAAAATTTTATCAATTGAAATCAGGCTGAAAACATCACCATTTTCAAATACTCATGAAAATGAAAATGGATAAATGACTCTTAAATCTCACCGTATGTTTTAACTTATATAAAATTTAACATATGAGATTGATAAAGTGAAAAAGTACAATTTTCATTTGTGATCTCTTGCATTTAAAATTTGTAATATAAAATGACTATTTTCCTGTTTTTAATCTTTAAACACGTGTCCCCCCCCCCCCCCCGATGACACAACAAAACCTTTGGAATGAATAAAAACTGAAAGAAAGGATCTGTTGTTTCGCGGGGGAAGATGTTTTGAAAATAAATTTCCATTTTCCGTTAATTTCTATAGTGAAATATTTTTTTTCAAATTAAAGATTTATATCTCTTTATTTTCCCAAATAAGTTATGTTTTACATACATGGATCTAGAGGGGGGATCGTTGGGAGAGGGGGGGGGGTTCGGACCACCCCCAGGAATTTGTAGAGTTATTTAATGTATAGACCTATACTAAACCAACTAAAAGTGACCTTGGACCCCCCCCCCCCCCGAAAACGCGGATCCGTGTAAAGTTGATATGAAAAGTCATAGATATGAAGCATAAGATGTCAACCTCCTCCCTCCTGGATCCGCGCCTGGTTTTATGGAAATTCACATAAATATCAATATAAATATGAAAATTTATTCAAATATGTGTGGCAGTTGGCAGTAAGCAGTGAACAGTTGGCAGTAAGCAGTGAGCAGTTGGCAGTAAGCAGTTGGCTGTCGTATATGGAATTCCATAGGTGATAAAATATGATAATTTATGTTTATCACAGAAATTATAGTTTTTCATCGTATATGAGTACTAATTTTTTTCTCCAGGTTAAACTACATATTAAATGTTTCATTATTTTAAAAAAACAAATAAAATGTATCATTATTTTAAAAAAACAAATAAAATGTATCATTATTTTAAAATATGTGTGGTTGTTAAAATTATTATCATTTATATACAAATATAATCATTTCGAATTTGATAAGCTTGTTGTTTCTTAATTTTATGCAATAAATTTTACCTTTTTTAAGTTCACTTTTGCCAAACGCCGGAATAAGCTTTTCTGATCAAAGAGTACCAGGTGTTCGTCCGTCTGTCTATGCGTGGGTCGATCGTTTGTAAACTTACTTCTCCAGAACCTTTCGGTCAAATTCAAGCAAACTCCCAACAAAACATTTTTGAGAAAAGGGAATTTAAATATTTTCATATTATAAAGTCCATGCGCTCTATTATCTATATAACAGGGAGATAATCAAGAAATAATTAAATTTGAGGAACATTAAGATTCTCCTCAAAATTCAGCTCCAGAAAAATGGGAACTTATTTGAAAGCTCTGCATAATGCATGAATTCAAGTTTGTTTCCCCGGGGCTATGATGGAACCACAAAAGAGATATAAATTTTCATAGTATTACATGTATATATAATATGTACATGTAGTAGTATGTGGGGAAAAAGACGAAAGAGGAAGGTAAAACATGAGAGTGTTGTGGTCCATTGTCTCAAGGTCAACTCAAACAATAAAATGCTTTCTTTGGTTGTTAGCATGGGAATTAATATTGCAGCTGTTGCAGAAAAAATACATAACCCGCGTAAGGGGGTTATGTAATTTTTTTTTCTGCATTAGCTGCAACGTTAATTTCCGTACTATCAAACAAAGACAGACATATATATCTGTATAAATAATCAGATACCTAGAATTGAGTACGTTAAATATCGCATTATTAATATTTATGTCATTGTTTAGTTCATTAATAGCAGTCGCTGCTCAAGAAATCTATACTCAGTCTGGTGATTTGCTAAGCTGCGTTTACTGACTGATAATCATAAGAAATAAAGGGGATAATATTCAGTGGATGTAGATAATTTACGAAAAACTCGAGATGTACATTCAATTACCACAACATAATAATTTATTGTATTTTAAAGAAGCTCTAAACACTGCACACTAAAGAGTTCTATTTGTAGGGTACTTTTATTGAGTTAGAGTGATCTGCCCTTAGAAGAAAAATAGTATAAATGGGAATCTACAGTTAATGACACAATTTCTTATGAATTAAAGTATTCTTAATGTTATGTTAGACCAAGATTAAGTAATTGAATATATTATTTCCATTAATTTTCCCGATGCAAGTAAACAACAGTGATTTCTGTTCACAAATAGTTCATTGTCTTTGAACATTTTTTCCGAAGAAATAAGGCAGGCACCCTATGTTGAAAATGAACTAGATACACTGAATATGTGCACCTTTATATGATATATTTTTCTCAAAGCCCAAAAATCATTTTTCATTAGTGTTTAGAGCTTCCTTAAGAAAGTAATGCTATTACATGTTTTGGGGTGAACATTAAATTATGGTGAAGCTGAATATTAGATATATATATAATATTTTTATCAGATTTTAGTGTTCTTACCGGCATAATTCTGTGCTTTGTTTAAAGTTATCATATTTCGTCATCTTTGTCTCATAATCATTACATCCTCTTTGCATATCAAAGAACTTGTCTTCACAGGTCCCAGTGCAAGCATTTGCATCTGCAATGAAAAAGTAAACCTTTATTTTTTCTATGGGAATTTCACAGGATGATCATTATTTATAAAATATATCGTTTTAAGATGTACACAAAATATCATTTCATATCAAGTTTTCTTAAAATAAATAAATGAAAGATATAAAGAACACCATTTTTTTTAACAGAGATCTGAACAAGCCTTGCACAGTATCAATGTCTCCATCTGTTTATGTCTACGGGATTCTGAAGACAGTAGAAACCTGAGTTTACATCAAAGTAAACTAAATTAATTTTATCGTGTGTGAATACAAGTGTTTGCAAATTGTGTTAGCTATAATCTGTATTGTAAGCAATAAATGGATCGTAATAGATTTGATTCTAAGATGTGGAGAAAGAAAAAACAGAAATCATCACACACAGCGTGATATATTATATAAACTTCCTCCGATATATTACAGACAGAAATTTACAAATGTTCGAGTTATTCAAAGTTACATATACGAGGGTTGTCCGGTAAAATCGTGGACAAAGCGCTTTTATCGAAAAATAATAAGCGCACTAAGCTGAAATTTTCAGCAAATGTTTATTTATCATGTATATGTACATCCTAAATTTTTGGATAAAATGTAGACAAAAATAAAAATTTTACTATACTTGAATGTGTACAGAGTACGGTCCTATGGCGCATGATCAAAAAATGCACGTTTCATTAGAGAAAGCGCGAATGTTATTTCGAAATGAAAGTATTACATACGTATGGTTGGGATAAAAATTACCATATTTTTAATCCACTATCTATTATGTCGTCATTTGGAAAAACACAACACGCGAAAATGGCGACGTTCGACAACGTTATGGCGCACCGGATAGCAGTTCAGTTTGATTTAGATGTAGTAATGACGCCCCAAGAGACTTTAAATGACTACAGAAGATATATATATATATATATATATATATATATATATATATATATATATATATATATATATATATATATATATATATATATATATATATATATATATCACTAGATCTTTAGTCTACAAGTGAAATGTGAGTTTTCTAAGCAGAAGCTTTTTGATCGAGTCCCCGGACAGAACAAACCATATGGACAAACATCTACTGGCATTAACGAAAAAACGCTGTCACTGTAGACCGTTGATATAAGATTGCCTATTTAGTTTAATGATATAGCGAGAGACAGTACTATCCATATAACTTACAAATAAATCTTCATAAGGTTCCATGTGTGTGTGAGATTGGTTCCTCAACTGTTTATGGAATAATAAAGGGAAACTCGAGTAATTCTCGAATTTATGCGGGGCTTATCCAATTTTTTGTTAGCAAAGAAGAAACTTGACGCTGCTTTAGAAGTATGACGTTATCATCCGTGCGCCGTAAGGCGATACCATAGCATATATCCATTTGAAATTTGCTAGGTATATTGATGAAAAATGTACTAAAGGGTAGTGAAAATTTTAGAACACAGTGATGATTATTTTTCACTGTAGACTTGTCCACGATTTTACCAGACAACCCTCGCACACAAAAAATAACTACGAGTTATAAAAGAAGTACAACTAGTTTTCAACGTTAATAAATTGTCTCTGTTTTTTCACACATTGCTCCACAATCAGAATTCCTGTTTCGAAAAAAAAAATTGAAAGAACCCAAACTTGATATTACTTGCATAAGTTGATTTTAAATACTAGTACATGAAAAACAATTACGAGTTCCTTTGAAATTAACGAGTATAGCATGTCCAGTTTTGTCATCAAAGCTGTAACCAAATGCATACATGTTTATACAATTAATCGAGTTATCTGTAATTCTGAGGCATATGTAATAGATACTAATGGATTTTTCCTGATTACATGTATTTAATATAAAATAGTACTATTACAGTATTTCAGTCATTTTTCAAAATTATTCATTTATCCTACAATTGATAATAAATACCTATGTTTACATTCTACACTGCAATCAATTAACTATAAATAAAATGTAATTTTCGTCATAAATCTCAAATAAATTTCAAAAGAAGCCGTGATATTTACAGAGCATCTGTCAGAGGCGACTAACAGGTCAACGGGTTCACCTGGGGTCACTTTCCCCCGAGACATACATGGCATGCGACACGACATAATAGGTTACTCTCGATACCAATAGATTCCATTTAGTTCTCAAAGATCTTATTATAGAACCTGCCAGAATAATTTCCCTGCGGCAACATGCAGGCTGGAACAATATGGCGAGACGTCGGCGCATGTCTATTGATCCTGTGGATGGTGATAAAGGGGTTATAATGTGCTTAATATGTTTTATTTGGATTGCAGAGGTAGTAATAATCATAAGACTTATCACTATTAGTTCAATTTACATATGTCCAAACTTAAGTTTAAAAAAATAAATTTGATTATTTGAGTATCCAGGTTTATAGTGTTGAATAGATTAAAATATCTGTAAAACAAAATGGTTTTATGATCTCTTCAACAAACGGAAATAAAACTCATTTATTGAAAAGAGCAAACAACTATTAATCTCTCATTCATAAAGAGAAAGCATCATCCATGCTAATTAATCTAATGCGTTTTGTTGTGTCCTTAGTGAAATCAAGTAGCATTATCAGGTAACAAATGTCAAATTGGCTATCGGTACATTGACTTCCTTTCACATCGACTTCCTGTCAAGTTTGACGATAAAGCAGAGCAGATGTTTTTGTAGCTGTGGTAACCACTGCTAGAATGCACATGGAGTATTTCGAAATTCTACAATTATTGAATGAAATATTTTCTAGGTCAACAATATTAAGTTTAATTTGATGATGTTTTGAAGTCATTGAAAGAATATAAACCACATGAGAAAAGTTTCAGCAGTCGCCAGATTCTGTGTTTTCACATAAGATTTCAATACATTGAAATAATTGGGATTAAACCTACATTCCCTCTAATTCAGCAATCAAAGAAATAAATGTTAATGAAACAATTCACCAATGTACAATTATTGTAGATATTTGTGGGTCATATTCTAGGATTTGGATGAAACCAAAGTTCCGCCACTCACAACTTCCCCTATAGCAAGACGTTTTATTATTTATTCTGAAAACAAGATACGTCTTTAATTTGAATAGATGTTTCTTCATTTCAGGTGATATCTTTATCAATGAAATATATAGATAACGAAAAGTAATCAATCTCAAAAGTCAATCAACATTCAAATGAATGATAGATTGTATTTGCTGACAAGGTCAGCGAACTGTTGACTTTAAAGAAGACTGATGATATTCTAGTTTCATCAATTTATTTGTCAATAGCTTGCCTCGTTTCAGAAATTGTTTGTACGTAGAACATGCTTTTGCGTATCACTGGGAGACATAAATTCCATATGCAGATGACAATGGTATATTGCTATTTAAATAAGTGAAGTTGACGATAGAAAAGTTGATTCATCGTGTTTATCATAAAGTTTTGTCGTCAGGTTACCATTAACGTCTTTTTCTAGTAAAATATCCAAATATGAAACAGTTTTGTCAGACTGTGGTATCTTTTATTTCGAGTTCAAAGGATAATTCGATTCAACGTAGGAATGAAAATTGTTAATTGATAAAACGTCGTCGATATATTTAAATGTTGAATTGAAGGCTATAGGAAGAGACATCTTTTTATGTAGAAGTTTTTGAATGAAAGGGGTGTTTTTTCTTTATTAGAGAGGTACACTAGACAATTGCTAACGCACCACTCAGTATTTTTTTTATCTGCAAATACAACATCTGCCACATTGACACGAGTTAAACTAAACTGAAGTCTTGCTTATACTGCAGTCGGTTTTGCAGATGTCTTTATTATCATAAGATGAAACTAAACATTCATCATTCTTTTCTCTCTTCAAAATGTAAACCTACACTTCATAATGAAAAAGTTGAAGACAAAGAAGAATGATCGATAAAAACAAATCTACAAACAATACAAATCTGCGAACAGGGCATAAAACACAGACCCCCGGAAATTCCAGAGGTACATGTAGGATCACATGGCTAGAAAGAGAAAGCATCCCCTGTTGACCAGTCAAACCCGCCGTGAGCCCTATGTATTGATCAGGCATACGCAGTACTCTGTACATAGTCAAGTTTAGTACATGTATAAAAGCAATGACTTAACAAATGGTATTAAACATGTCAGATAAAATATGAACCAACGATAGGTTGTATTTACAAACAATGCCATTATAATGACCGTAGAATTTGCGAAAAGCTGACTCTAAACAAGATTGTTGAACTCCTTATAACATCAACTTATTTGTCAGCAGCTTGCCTTGGTTTAAAAATTGATCGTACTCTGAACATGCGTATCGAATCAGTTGGGAGACATAAAAATCATATGCAGGTGATGTTGGAATATTACTACATAAATAAGGGAAGTTGACGTTTGAAAAATGCATGAAGTCATCCCTTTTGTCATACATGTTATTTATTAGTTTGCCTTTATCGTCTATAGTCAGTAAAACATCCAAATATGAGCCAGATGTGGCAGATTCTGTAGTTTCTTTTATTTCGAGTTCACTAGGATATCGATCAAATACGTTAAGAAAAGTGGTAAAACTGCACTGCAGTGTTTCAGCCATCAATGATATAAATATATCACACATCAACAGCCATGATAACCATTTATGATCCATTAATGATATTTACATGACGGTGTTGTCATGATATAACTTTTTCATAAATCGACACAAAGTCATACACTAATGTAGCATTATATCTGTAGTTGTTTTTGTTACATTGGTGTTTACTAAAACACCATAATATTTATGTGTTTATTCATTTGATGAAAATAAAACTCCAATATATTGACCTCAGAGGTGCTTTCGCATTTATTCCTTTTTTTATATACAATCCCCCCTCTTCTACAAATTCAGGTCTGGCGGGCTTGTTTTGTATCTCTTCGTAATGTATGAAAAAATAATCCTAATTATTGTTATCTTGCGATTTCTAAACTTTTCTCAAAAATTTCTGAAAAAAATAAATACACAAAAAATTGTCATATTGGCGATTCAAGTGATTTCCCATGATTATATATAGGAAACAGCATCCTCTGGTATCTTTCACAAATGCCTGGTAGGAAACTTTCCAAAGTGGCAATACTTCAGTGACAAATTCTTGGGTAAAATTATATTTTATTGAGGAACCTTTAGTCAGACTTTGAACACTTTTTCGTGTAAAGAAGCCTATAATCCTACTTTAACTGTCTCGGTCGTGTTTCCGTGTATATTTCATAGAATGTGGTAAGGGTTATATTTGATTTTAAAAAAAAAGCTCCGTTGAAACACTAAATATCTTTAACATTCAAAAGCCTATAAAAGACCCATCAAGATTTTTTTTTGAATTTGATAGAATGTGTTGTCAGACTGTTTAATTAATACGAATCTAATAACAAATTTTAAGTTCATTATAACGGGCTTCCGTAGTACATGCTTGTGAAAACACAACAAAGCATTACTTTCCGAAGTAGCATAGAGATCCTGGCATGAACCTCACAGATTTGTTAAACTACGCAGCTTCAATAATTGATCGTTTTATAATACACCACATTCTTATAAATAAAGCTTTCCAGTGTACTTTTCCTTTTCCATTATCTAGGAAGTTTTCAAATTTATCGACATTCCATGTAAATGTCTGCTTAGATGTATGGAAGATATGTTTGTCCAACATAGGAATGCAGTTATGAAAAAAAACCCTTTCTTATAATCATAATTTCATCTCATAAATTTTAATGTGTAAAACAGAGAGTCTATTTTAACAAGACAATACATAAATCCATTTTTATATAAACTTTAATGTTAAAGCATTAATGATTCGGGAATCTACAGGGTCTGGTGCTGAAGAAGCCATACTTTTCGTGAGGCGCTATTCTGAAAACAGATTCACAAAAGCTGGTATTAAACGTTATGAAAGATTTCTGAGATACCTCCACTAACCGTTTTCTTAGTTCACATAAATTACCATTCTTTCCAGGATAAGTAAAGTAAGAAAAAAAATCTCATATCTCTATATAATGAGTTCAATTTTATTCCTGGATAAATATTTGAAGTGTCACTCTCCAAGAAAGAAAGAATTTGGCGAGAACAAATTATTATTATCCTTCTATCTCTATCACCTATACGATAAACAATATACTTATTCTATAGTTCACACGTGGTTTATCAATAAAATTCAGAAAAACAGAAAATCTTTATTTTAATGTTCTGAAGTGTTACATATGCTTAACCAGATAACTATGCACAGAGGTATATAGTTCGGCTGCTGAACAAAATAAATTCAAACTTCTGTGAAGAGAAATTAACTGAATCCAAAATAAAAAATGAATAAATAAAAATAAAATAAGAAGAACACACATTTAAATTACAATTATAACTTTCACATTTTTACCAAAATAAAATCTCAAGAGCGCAGCTTCATAGAAATGGTTTTAAAACCCAAATTAGGATGATCGTATTGTTTAAAATTATTATTTCTTGTTTTTTGATAATATGTTTTTTGGTTTTTCGGTACATGCATAGTTCAAACTTTTATTTTGGATGAATGAAAAAGGGAGAAGATAACGAACAGTGATCGATCTCATAAAAAATTTTTTTATTAAAAATCTCTGAACAGGGCATAAACAAGGACCCTTGGAAATTCCAGAGGTGGGATCGGGTGCCAAGGAAGTTAAGCATCCTCTTCACCCGCCGCGAGCCCTATCTATTGATCAAGTAGACGGAACATTCCGTAGTCAAATTTAGTATAAAAAACAGATGTCTAACAATTAGTAGGAAACAAGTCAGCCAAAATACGGTCCAATGGTAGGTTATATTTGCTTATAAGGTCATTATAACGACCATAGAATGAACAAATACAGTCGCTAAATTAACATTCTATAGAAATATATCTTCCAATTCTTTTCTGAAAGTTCCTCATGACATTCTAAAGTTTTATTACCGCACTATCAGGCCATATGTGCAATTTTAGGTGAAAAATGCTTCATTACCAGATAATGCTTATACGAGTATTAATATTTCTGTTCAAATATTGAAATGTATTTTACAACATTTAATATGGAGCCTTTACAATTTAATTATACGTAAGTGTTTTTGATTCTAAATAAATATCTTGTGCAGACAGCACCCTTCTGGTATATAGTTTCAGCTTCAAAGCATAGAAATGGACAAGGTTTAACAAAAGAAAGAAGGAAACAAATATATTTATTTAAGTTTTAATTAAGAGGATTTAACCCCCCCCCCCCCCCCGAAAAAAAAATCAGCTATTATCTCCAGTTGCCATCACCCAAACTTAGATTTCAACATGTCTAATAAACAGTATATGTAAAACAAAAAAAAATGTTTTTTTGACCCCATCAAATAATTACATGGAATGTTTTGTTATGTGTTAACACGTGCAATGAAAATCATGATTCAAACCCAAATATGACACCACAAACAACATAGTGATGAGTAACAGTGATACAATAGGTGACTTTTTCCATAGGTATGCATAGGATGTACACGTTTACACCTTTAAGCTTCTGGTTTATATGAGTAAATGGAGAAGTTATTTTATCTCATATTTTTTTGATGGGCGATTTAAATGCCTTTAAACTGGATACACACTCCTTCTCATTAAAATACAATCATCAATTTTCTTCTGCATGTGCTAATTTTTAAGGCTGTAACAGGAAAATCCCAAATCTAAAAAAATATCCGACAAACTTTTCTTTTACATACATAATGTTGCAGCTTGATAATACGTTCACAATTCATAATCATCTGGACAAATCCAGATTTTGAGTTTTCTTTGATGAATTTCAGTAAGAGACGATATATTCAGTTTTTCAGGTATATAATGACAGGAATTGGTTGTGTATCCAGTGCCATACATGTAATATTGAACAAGAAATGAACCATAATTCTTTTTATATATTCAGAAGCGTACACAACACGAGTTTGATCAGTTAATGCAGTAAATTGTCAAGTACATAAACGTCTTTAAATTGTTTATTCATTTCGGTAAAGAGAACAGATTTGCAGACTTTGCAAGAAAACAAATGAGCTAGAGATCATAAAGTGACACTAGGCACGTACAAATGTGATCCAGTTTCTTAAGTGGATGAATTGATTACACAGAATTTGAAAGCACTTATTATTTCAAGACAAAATCTGGCATAGCCTCAGATGATATTATGAGATTGAGAATATTCCACTGCTGGTATAAAAGACCAAATAGGCCAAATATCATGCAACGAGGAATGCAGCAAGATTTGTAAGCAATGCAGATGTATATGCACATATGCTCACTAACGCCATCCAGATTAATATCGATTTCCTTGATTCTTCAACAGAACCAGACTGTCTGATGTTAATGAATGGACATAATACGTTAACGATTTGTTTATTAAAGATTACTATCATAATGCGGTCAACAAGTGCGAATATACGAAGCAAGACGTCTAAAAATATGAATGATACAGTAATATCTTACCTGTTTTGGATAAATGACAGGTGAATGCTAGCATCTTTACGAGCACAGATATGTTAAGCAGATAATCCAAAAATGAACATCCTTTGCATGGAAATCTCATGCTGTTTCCTGAATTAAACGCCAAATGTGGTCTGTCAAAGGTAAGCGAATGCTACCGTTTCATCACATGCACCTACAATTTAATACATTTAAATGACACACGACGCCGTAGAACACCTTCATGTACAAAACAAATATTTTTATCAGTGTTTAAACATGAGTCAACTAATCATGGATTCCACTGATGAAGGAACGTGAATAAAAGTCCATGACAAGAACTCGGCATGAAGCAAGCCATAGGTGCTATCCTCTGTGGTAGAGCTTATAAGCGCTTGTCCCTTTTCTGTGGTGTCGGAAAATCCAAAGGACAGAAATCGAACGAAGCTATCAGTACACTGCTGACAACGCATTGGAGATTTTCTGTAGCTGTTCCTAATTACAGCGGCCTATTCCTGTCCTTGGTTCTTAACGTTTTAAATCTCATTATATTTTAAAACGAACGGAAAGAGAGCATATAAAACTCGATTGTCGGATTTTTTGAGTAGGCTAAGAAATATAAGTACATATATTTTTTTTTAATTTTTACATGTATCTAGGATTCTGAGCAACTGCTAGTAGTGAAAAGAACTTAACTGCATTTATCTGGATGTGATCAGAAAATTATAGTCTCAGCTCGAAGATTTCGTGATGCTGACATAAATTATCACGATTCTATGTTAAGTGGTACATTAAAACAACATGCTTCATATTAAAGATAAACCCACAAATAATAAGTAAAAGTTAATGTTATGTACCGAATTCACATAGTAACCCTATTTCATTCCGGGTTCACTTCCCAGTCTTTGTGAATTCAAAATTTATAGAGCTTGGTATAAAAAAATATTTCGTGATCGATATATAATTATGATTGGTTTTGTAAATGTATTTTCCATTTTATTCTATCTTTACCAGCTTAAAGGGGAATCTGTTCTAACCTGGTATTAATTTCTCTCTTCAAAAGTGGTGTTGATATCACAAGCTGAAAAATAAGAAACTTCATATGATTTATATGTCCACAATAAGAGAACAGCTTAGAACAGATAATACTTCCGTGTATGAAGGTCTACAAATAATGTCCCGCCGCTTTCTGCGAACGTTCTAGCAGATGCGAAATGTGAAAATCAAGTAGCAATGATTCAGTACGTTTTGTGAATGTGAATTGTGTGATATAACTGCTGTTATACTTTTACATAAACATTGCGTAATTCATGATTACATGATGCTATTTTGCTGAAGAGGCTAAAATACTCTGAGCATTCATTGTGATATAAGTAATTGACGCTCAGCTCTGATCTCAAGATACTCTCATAAATCAATACTTTGTTTCAATTATCACAGGTGTTTGTGGACAGGGAACTCCAATCTCCCATTTTACACACTCTTTTTTAAAATAAATATATTTGTTGACCTTTCAAAAAGCATTGACTTCGAAATCAGTTCAATTATTCGATCTTCAGTTAGTAAAATTATGCAGTATTAAATGTCATTGTATTGAATTACAATGTATTATTGCAGTTATATTGATAAAGGGTGTTTTTGTTTGAATGTGAAAGAAGAAAATATTTCAGTTAGAAGATAGATTGTGACTTTCTCACACAATATGCTTATGGTTAAGGTCAGACGAGACGTTCCTTAAATATCTGTTTTGTATATCTTCGTATTGTATGGAAAATATTCAAAATTATAATTGCCTTCTGATTTCTAAACTGGTTTCTAATTGTCTTTTAAAACTTAAACACTAAAATGTGATATTGGCAAGTTAATTTTTTTCCAAAAGGATTTTATAGGAAACACCATCCTCTGGTATCTTGCACAAATGCCTGGTAAGGTACCTCAATTTTTTTGTGAGTAAACATGTTAAAGTAGTAATACTTCAATGACGAAATCTTAGAAAAAATTATATATTATTGAGGAACGTATCGTCTGTCCTTAAATTGGGGTTTTCATACTGTCAAATATGTTTGTATTGTTCTTTAATATTTATGTTAGAATTAAGTCAGAAAAACTGAGACAGTAGAAATATTGTTTTCCCTTTAATTTGTGCTCATTATTATTACAATGGTTTGCATTACATGCTTTATGAAATGGCCTATGGTAGAGCCCTATTCTTTCTCTTGAGTCACTCATTTGCCTCTGTTATACATTTAAAAATTGTTTCCTATATAATTCTATACTAAATAAGTCTAACATTTCCAAAGTTTTAAGGAGGCTGGGGGGTCAACAAATTAACCATCAGATATAACTTAATTTTTTAGATATGATATCTTAAGCTGTCAACTATTATTTGGCAAACAAAAATTTCATACATTTTAGTTTTAAAATTTGATTATTTTTATATATCTTTATATGGAGCTCTTCTTCTAAAGGAGATCAATATAGTCTGAAAATGGCCACAACCTCCCAGCCCTCTTAAGGAGCGGTCATAAAAAATCGATGTTTGACCGCAGAAAGAGATATTGGACCTGTCGATGAGATATTGGACTGCTTACGTCACAGTGTCGGCGGGGTCACCTATATCTTATTTGCATTCGTTGGATTTCGACAGAACTTTACGGAATCGACCAAGTTTAAACCGCAGTGCTGGTAAACGAAATTTTCATCATGATATGTCAAAATAAAAAGTAAAAGGTATAACAAAACATTTTATTTACGAAAATTGTACACGATTATCCCCGGTATCTTAGCATATCTATTTTCTGATGTTTGAAACGTTCAACCAAACTCTCTTAACACTTAAATCTTTGTATCTATTTCTCCATTATGAATATGACAAAGATAAGCTTTTTTTTAAGGTGTCGACAATATTCTGAAATTAACTTCTATACTTTATAGAAACTTCCATATGAACTCAAAATTACAAAACTGATTTAATACTCCGATAGTATATCTATTCTCTAGGTCAAATTAAAGAATTTATTACGTATTCGGTATAGGGTATCAAAATTTTACATTCTAATTTCCATGAAACAACAACCTTCAAAATCTTCATTTCAAGAATAGCAGGGCCATAATTAATAACACTGATCTGCATGCATCCTCATGTAGTATAGATTCGGGAAAGACTGTAGCAAAAATGCAGTTTTCACTTATATATTGGAAGGAATTGTGCCATTTTGAATAATTTTGATCAATAAAATTATTCCAAAATTGACCATTTTTCAAGACTCTGGTGGCGTAGCTTGGGGTTGATCAATGTGGAAGCATGAAATGGCAGGGGGGTATGGGCCAATATGGGACCAAGGCGAAGTCCTTGTGGGACTTTGGGTGCAAACCCCCTGGAATCTCGTGCATTCTAGACGAGTGACGATAGACTTAGAAAGGTTTATAACATTTTAAACCATAAAATTTTAAATAACAATCTTTTTTAGACGGTGGCTATTTATAGTCACAGGCTATTGCTGCTGCTTTTGGGCTATAAATAACAACAGTGTAAAATCACGGGGACCCTAGCGGCGATTTTTGCAGAGTCAACATAATGAAAATAGGGTTGATTCGATGTTTGAAAATAAAATGCACATTAGTTAACAAATACTCTCAAGTTATTTCAAAGACATTTTGTTGATGGGCACAAAACTTAATTCCTGATATTTGCCGTTATCGATATTTCTCGCTTCATAAATATTCATTAAATTACGCCGACCTACAACTAATTCGTACACAGACCGACTCGTATATTCGTATGCAAACTACAGAAGTCACACGGCTTTTTTTTAACGTTGTGTTAATGTAAAATTTAAATAATATTTATTAATAGTCAGAATATTTAAGGGAAAATTTTTTGGAGAATAATGGTTTCATATTTTAACTTTGAAATCAAATAATTATAATTGTTAAACACACGCACGGTGGTTTCTTAGTTACATGTATGCGACAAACGGTAATTACGAGACGTTCCCAATTTGATACTCCCTAATTATGAGATACTCCATGCTAGGAAAGCGTCGATCTCCAAATTTCTTGTTCCGGAATTGAATGTTTCATAGAAGTTTTATTTGAGAAGTTTTGTGGAATTTTCATACAAGAAAACTTTTAAAGTTAACTGTAATTTTACGATGTCTTTTGATTGTTTTAATTTCTAATATCTGTTGATGATAATATATTAGATACATTTTTTTTCGGAAAGAAAAAAAAAGATCACGAACGACATCTTACCGACAATCAGTTAATAAAAGAGTTGTTGGAGGCAGAAACAATGCCATGAAATTTTAAAGTTTATTACGATTCTATCTAAAAAAAAACCATAAATAATAATAAGCCATTGCCTAATTATCTCGGACACAAAAACTACTGAACGAATGCTAATTTATCAAAGTTATAATTAAAAAGACTGTGACGGACAAATGTTAACATTATATTTCATTCGTATTTGAAAATTCTATCGTGCCTCGAATAAAATTTACCCTTGAAAAAGTTTAAGAAAAAAAGGTTCTAAAATACACGTGCATGAAATATTGGATTTTCTTGCGAATTCAGTGGGCTTAATTTAGGTCAGTCTTCTCTTGCGTGTGTTCACAAATTAAATTTCGTATTGCGCAATGACTAGCAGCAATACGCAGGGTTACGTATGAGAAATAGCATCGTCACAAACCAAGGCCAAAATATACAATCTTCTCCCCATTCTGAAAAGAGCTATATGCGATCTCCGAACTGTTGCTTGAGAGGATGGAGAAATAGAGGCTGACAAATATTTTGTTTTACTGTTCTACTTTTTTATTCTTTTCGAACAGTATATAACAAACAAAGAAGTAAGACTTCTGTACAATTCCTGAAGTCTTTCAAGCTTTTAGAAATAAGTTAATTGCAGCCAGGGAATTTGGCAAAGATGAGAATCCAAGGATAAAGTCTATTTCATTATCTTTCAGCATATGATTTATGTCGCACAATCTACAGTACATGGCCAAATGTGATTCATCATTTCCCTTTTTACCATATACTTTACGAAAAGTAAGTTTTTGTTAAAAAAAATATTGTGGGTTCAATTCTACTCAAAATTTCAAAAACTTTTCCAATAAGTTACGAAAAATTGTTCATATTTTCTTTTTTTTTTGGGGGGGGGGGGGGATGCAAAATTTGATTATTGATCACTGAGTAAAGATTTGAAATTATAAAGTCAAAATTTCTAACTTCAAAACACCACGATTTCATTGCACATTTTTGTAAAACATGCATCTTAGAATAAAAATGTTCGGTCATTACATGGGTATATCAGGAACCTTGATTCCCTTATGATTTAACATTTAGGGTAAACTGGTTTTGACACGTTTTAAGCATTAATTTTTTGGGGAAAATACTAAAACATCCCAAAATCCATTATTTGAATATATAATTTCAATCTGTCTATCATCCTTAAATATGTTTTCATTTTTAAATTTGCAATTATGACTGTACATCACAATAGTACATATAGAAAAAAAAAACTGAAATGATCGAAGTTTCTGGCATTTCAGGATAGTTTTTTTTAAATTCAATCCTTCTTTTATAATTAACCAAATGTAGAAAATTTCATGCAATAAATTAACAACCCCAATTAATCCTCATTATACTACGGAATTATAAATTTACTTATTAAATTTACTTATTAAAAACATGTATGGTGAAAAAATGCAGTTTTCACTTATATATTAGAAGGAATTGTGCCATTTTGAATAATTTTGATCAATAAAATTATTCCAAAATTGACCATTTTTCAAGACTCTGGTACTCTGTTAGAATTTTATCATCATAATGTCCTTTTTCGTATAGCCATGCACGAATACACGATTAAATTTTGATGATATTCGCCAATAGATGCCTGGACGTTCTGAACACGCCGCATTGCACTCAAATTAAATTTCTCGCATCGACCATTGCAATGTCTTTTTTTTTATGAAGCATCGGTATATTTTCAATCATTCTAATTGACTAATATTCTTGTCTTTCTTTTATGTTAATTATAATTATTTCAAAGAGAAAATAGTCCAGAATTTACTGAAGTAAAACAACATATATTTAATTGGGTAGACGGATTAATTTGTAGTCAAATTTAATATAAAACAATGTCATAACAATTGGTATTAAACATGTCAGTCGAAATACGTCCGCACGATATGTTTCTCTTACCACTGAGGGATGGAATATTTACTTGGCGTGCCAACGTTGTATAAGCCATAGACCTTTTTGGAGATGAAAATCTGACCAATATAAACACTTGTGATAATGCCTGTTCATTTTTTAAATTTTTTAAGTGATCGCATATGAATGGAACAGGCAGGTCAAGGATTTGCTAAATTTTCTTATTTTCTCATTTTTTCTGACTTTTTACCGATTTTAGGGTATAAATTGCTTTATAAAACATGAAAGGCAAGCTAGCCCACCTGTCCTGTATCTAACTAATTGTAAATCTTAGGCAAACTTGAAATTTATGTGTTTCAACACGAGAGAGACCAAAAAAATTGATCGCAAAAAAGTCAGTTAAAAATAAGGACATTTGGTAATATTCTTTTTCATATGCTACCTTCCTGTTGCATATGTGGATACCGTGATCAAATTCAATAGTCATGCGACATTTCCGGTTCCTTCCATAATTTTGATTTAGGTTTAAGTCCATTAAAGTGTCATATTTTGGTACATCTGTTGAGCCAGAGAATGTCATTTGACCAAAAAATGTACTTTGAATACTAACAACAAACATGTGAACAGTATCAAATTAACCATTCAAAATCCTAAACAATGTCATTTTGTTTTTTGAAATAAAAAGTGCAATGAAGATTTCATAACACTTCTATTCTTTCTCTCTATCGAACCATACACATATACACTAATATGGATATACCTTTGGAATATAGGTAGGGCGTATACTAAGAAAGTTATTATCTCGTAATAAGAGTCTTTATTTGGGACATGAACTATTTCTTACACTGCCAACTTCACGTAATTTGCCTCAATTTTCTCAGGTTTGCACTCTAGGAATTTACGGTATAGTTCGTTTTTACGAGTTGCATGTTTTGATACTGCCTCCAAAGAAGGTTATTTTGTAGAGTCTTACTATCAAAACATCGGCACACAATTAATGATCCTTGATTTTTGGTTTCAATTTCAGAAGAAGATGAAATAAATGGTTAAATGAACGTGTATGTGTAATATACAGATGTAGTCATATATAAACTTCCTTTTTACGATTCAATGTATTAAACAACAAAATGTTTTCTTTGTTATTATTGGAAATAATGTTGCAACTGTTGCAGAAATACAAAACCCGCGTAAGCGAGTCATATTTATATCTGTATAAAAAACATATAAAGTAAAATTTAGTACGTTGGCTATGTAAATGTATGTTTCACTGGAGGAGGAGCTAAAGAAATTTATAAATTTACTTAGCTGCATTTACCGATTTATAAATGACCCTGGTTTTCATAAGGAATAGAGGAGATAATATTCAGTAGATGTAATCAAATATGGAGATAACGAACAGTAATCAAGCTAAAAAGCCATAGAGAAAAATACAAATCAGGAGCAGAGCAAACACGGACCTCTAGAAACATCAGAGGTGGGATCAGGCACCACGGAGGAGCAAGCATCCCCCGTCGACCGGCCACACCTGTTGTGTGCTCCTTGTCATGATCATGAAAACAGAAAGATCCGTAGACAAGTCAATGAGTAATTAATGGCCTAACAATTAGTATGAAAAACGTCAGTCAACATTCGACTTAATGATAGATTGTATTTGCTGACAAGGTCATTCTATCGACCATAGAACTTGCGAAATGATGACTTTAAACGAGACTTTTGATATTCTTGCTTCATCAACTTGTTTGTCAATAGCTTGCCTCGTTTTAGGAATTGTTCGAACGTAGAATATGCCCTTGCGTATCGAATCAACTGGGAGACATAAATCCCGTATGCAGGTGATAAGGGTATATTGCTACTTAAGTAAGGGAAGTTGACGATAGAAAAGTTGAAGTCATCACGTTTATCATTATGTTTTGTTGTTAGGTTTCAATTCACGTCTTTTTGTAGTAAAATATCCAAATATGAAACAGATGTATCAGTCTCTGTGGTATCTTTTATTTCAAGTTCACTGAGATATATCGAGTCGACATGTAAATGGAAGTAACTATTGTGAATATACGTCGTCGATATATCTAAATGTCGAGTTGAAGGCCACAGCGATTTCTTCTTCTTCTCATGTATAAGTTTTTGAATAAATTCTTGCTTCATATGAATACAAAAATAAGTCTGCTAATAACGGGGCACAATTGGTTCCAATGAGAACTCCGACAAATTGTTGGAAAATCTGATCTCCAAAAAGTACATAGATATTTTCAATTAGAAACTCAAGCAACTTCAGAATACTTGTGTGTACAGTCAGAATGTTTTTAAAGAAAATAATTTCATGAATGACCAATGACCAGGTAAGTAAATGCGAGTTCCATTTTCATTGAAAAAGCAGCTGTCTATGATATCAAAAAGGCTGGATTTTAAGTAAATAATATAGGTGAACAACAATACTTTTACGATATTTCCATATTTGATCTTCTGTGTATGAGATCAAACAGTGTTTATGATATATATATATATATATATATATATATATATATATATATATATATATATATATATATATATATATATATATATATATATATATATATATATATACTGTAATATTTAATCTTACTGTGTCTTACTGTTGTATACATGTACAAAAAATAAACATAAAGTGGTCAGTTTAATAATAGCATTTTATACTTGTCTTGGGCACATATAATTACAACGATGATTCATTTCAAACTTCAAATGCTTTAGATTGCTTTTAAAAATGGATTTCTTTCACATACTGAAAAAATTGTGCAGCTCAAATATACGTTTTTCAAATTGCTCTATAAAAACGGTCTCTTTGAGTATCATCATGGTTCCCTTACTAGATGAATAGTACACTGACATATCATAGATAAGATAAAGCCAGAAATCGTGTTACTGTTAGTCACAGATTGCTAAGTATACGAGGGACGATCAGTGTTTTTTCTTCTGGTAAACTTCTTTACTCTTTGATCTGAATATTAAATTGCATGCATTAATCATTTAATTCTGGGATGGCTGACACTCGTCTTCCGGGATTTTAAAAATAAAACTAGAAATGCAAGAAGGCGCATTTTTTTTATTTCTTTTAACGCATTCCTGTATAAATTCTCTTTATTCGGATGAGAAACAATAAGTTTATGCAGAGCATATTTTTCTTGAAATTCGTAGTTCCATCCAATAATTGGTCCAACTTTCATGAAAAAGTTTGCTTTTAACAGATACAGAAACAGGCTAAGGAAAACTATTGGCCGTTGCTTGAAAAAAAAAACTGTGCTAAGAAGATATACGTACTTTCTCTACTTTCTAGATTTCAGAGCCGATCATAACTTCTCTTTCCATAGGTCCAGAAAGATGGCCTTTTGGGAATATTTTTGCTGCCTCCTTTCTGTGGCAATGCTACCTACTATTGTCAATGGTGCAGCATCGGTGACATTAACAACACCAGCTCATCATACTCAGCCTATTGGGCAGGACCACCTACTGTCGGTTTTACAGGGCATGCATCACTCGCATACCTTTCGTCAACTTTCAACCCACGATAAGATTTTATTGGTGGAACTACTTGCTGCCGCGGAGGTAGATGCAGTGACACATTACATTGACACAATAGGATTCGATAAGTTTCTTGTATTTCTTGATGGTACGCATTTTATTAAAATATCCACTATCAACTTTTGTATGAGAGACTTATTTTAATTTTAAATTAGGTCATTTTCCTTAATTTTTTATATTTTCAAAAACAAGCAAATATATATTGTTAACTTGTGGACAAAACTGTAGTTAAGAATGCTTAAATATAAATCCATATTACTTAATACATACGTATATTTGAAAGAATGATAAATTTTTCATGTATATTTAGTGGTGACAAAAATAAATGCAACTGAGGCACATATGCTGGAACATTATATGATTCAGGTACTTCTTTGCACGTTTTTCAAAGTAATTTAACAATACACATAACCAATAAAATTGAATAGAATAAGATATTGAAAAAATGTAATTTCCTTTGTTGACCATTGCAAATCTAATTCTAAATCAATTTACTTGACAATAATTTTACACCTTTGTTTTACTAGGAATTGAATCAAGAAAACCAAGGTGGTTCAGGTCAGAATGTTATCGGAAGAAAGGTATGAACAATCAAACTTACATTTATTATAACTATCCCCGCCCCGCTTGAAAATCGGAAATATATATTGATAGGTCGTCCGTCTGTACGTTACATTTGGGTGTAGTCACTATTATCCACTACTCCTCTTGTACCACTGAATGCAATTTAATGAAACTTTCACAAAATCTGTATTACAAAGTGACATTGTGCACCTTCTATTTTACATTTCGATCAGACACATATTTGGGGATTCTCACGGCAAAACATGGACACTTCCATTCTTTTAATATTGGGTGTACCCATCTCCTATCCTCAACTCCTCCTACACCACCGATTATAATTTAATTAGACTTTTACAGAATTTTTATTACGTAGTGCCACTATGCACCTCCTATTTTACGTTTTGATCGAACAGATATTTGGTCTTTCCCATAACAAAACATGGACAGTACTATTCTTTCTAGATATGTAAAATATTTGGGGTACCCATCTCATATCCATATCTCCTATAGCACTGAATAAAATTTTATGGCACTTTCACAGAATTTTTATTACACAGTGTAACTGTGCAACTTCTATTTTACGTTCTGATCGGAGAAATATTTGGGTTCTTCACATATTAACACATGGACTTTTCCATTATACTCATATGGGGAATCATTTTGGTAGTTTGAACTGCTGCCCAGTGGGTCAACTTCCTGGACAATTAATGTACCGCATGGGGGACGGGAACCTTACTCCAGGAGAGACAGGCCAAAAGCTTTTCAAAATTTTCCCATTCCTTAAATAAATATTCGGCAATGGGGCCAACTTTAAAATAATGTTTGTTTACCAACTCAGGATGAAAAGTTTGGGTCGGTAGGTAGGTAAATAAATTTTTTTCTCAGAAAATTTCAATTTCAATGCTAAATTTTTTAAAATCTGTTGTCCAGAATACATAAAAAAAATTGCTTCCAGGAGGTAAAAAAAGGTTTTGAGTCGGGCCATTTTTAGCCAGTCGGTCGGGAGAGGACAACCAAACATTTTTTACAGATGGTCTGGAAGGAAAAGTCATGAATTTTATTGAGGAAATCTTTGTAACAGAGGTCTATCCTTTAACATATAATTTTGCATGTTCAATCAAAACCTAGGGTGTGATGTCAACATATCTAAACTATTGTTTTGATATTTATTAAAGTTGGGCTAAAAATTTGATGTGATAATTTCAGTCAGCTAAAATCATATCATGCAAAAGATTTAGTCTTTAGAGACATCCATATCGAAAGTGTAGGTTTGGGTTTGAAAGAGATGTGCGAGATTTATACCACTAGTGCACATTATTGATTCTATTGAATGCTGATTGCTTGATAGCGTGGAGACTAAAAGAAGTAAGGATATGTCATTTCGAAATCCGTTATGTTTGACATAAAATGCCATGAAAACAAACAACTGAGACTATTTTTCTTGACATTGATTTCGAAATTGCAATTAATCAAAGGAATAAGTTGTAAGGCCAAAAATATATTCATCAGAAGATAACATATGGGGGAAAACGATGTCCGGTATTCTGAAATGAAGAGTGAAGAATGAATATGCTTTTGGCATGGAAAACATGACTTAAAGTTTTTATTAATGTTAACATAGGAAAATCTTCTTTTTTTTTTTTCTTTTTTTTTAAATTTTATATTGCCAATGTTCTTGTCGTTTACATGTCCCTCAAATAAAAAGAGAAAAATGGCGTGAAAGTTAATTCCTGTCCAAAACAAATCGAGGAAAAATTGACAAATTAGGAAATTCAATTTTGTAAACAAGTTTTGGAAAAATATTTCTTGACATTAATTTTTTTCAAAGAGCTAGGTTCACTTTATGCATAAAATGGCCCTGTAGATAAACCAATTTATCCACTAACAAACTATTTCCCCTTTTCAACATCAATATAAAATAGAGACTTGGCGCTTTCAGTTTGTATATAAAAGTTTCCTCTAAAGAGTCCAGGTTGTGTGAAATTGCAATGTTCTTGAATTTTGCAGAAAAAGGTGAATTTAAGAACCTTCAACAAAGAATTAAAATATAAGCACACCCCTCGATCCAAAAATTAAAGTATGTTTCAAAATCTTAGTTAGCAGTACTTTCATAATATATTTGCACATTTTGGATCGGAGGTTGTGCTGTATACAAAATATTGAAAAATAGCATCATAATTTGGCCAATTTTGAAGAAATATTCGGGATATGTGAATAATGACACAATTCATGACGTCATAATGCATTGACTAGCAAGAAAATTACGTCATTTTTGGTAGAAATTTAGTCAACAAGTGTTCAATTGATATTTGTTGCCTTGTCGACTAAAACTATGCAGTTTTAATTTTTCAGAAATTTATAGGGCCAAAAAAGGCACTAAGTGGCCCTTGCTCTTTGGAGAGTTTTATGAATGTCAAATGTGCAGACGGGTAATTTCGGATTTAAAATCGATTCTAGAAGATGGCTTAATAGTATGAAAGAGTAAATTTTAATTCCTTATTTGGGGCAAATACTTTACAGAAAACATCTCTAGCTGTATATAACATTTTTGTCAAATAATCTTTTTTGAGGGAAAATGGATGTAACATATGCATGTAGCATGTTTTGTCACATTTTTTAAAATTAGAGGGATTTAGTGGCGTTCCTGGCTAGAATACACAAGTTTCCCGCCGTGCAGTCTCTGTCCGCAAGTGATCAGGCCCTCTTGGACGAACTGTTGAGAGCCAGTGAAACACATACACTGACCCCCGTCATCCACAGAGAAGGATACGCCAGGATTGTCCAGCTTATAGAAGGTAATAGATATTCCAAAAATGAGAGAGAGAAAGAGAGAGAGAGAGCAATCATGATATCCAGAAATGGAAATGCAATATTTTTTCTTGTTATGAAAGAGTCCTTTATCATATCCTGTGTTGAAATTTATATGATAATTTCAGAAATCGTTCTACGTTTTGAACTAAGCTTAGTTCTTTATATTTACAATTTCACATGATGGTAAAATTAAGCTGTAAAAAAAACTTTACACGCTTTATTGGCACTGACTTTTGAATAAACTAATTCAAGGTTTGATCTGCATTTGAAATCACAGGAGAAAAAATAAAATGTTTACAGATAAATTATTTTTTCAATGGTTATCGTTATTATCAATGGACAGCAAAATGTAACAGGACAGAGCACAGCAATGTCGCCAGAAAATATTTTAAGCTTTTATTTAATTGTTGCATTTATAGAAGCTTTAAGAAAAGATGTTACAACCTTTCATTGCGCTATCTATTTTAAATATTTCAACAAACATTGTTTCACTCTATAGTGTTAATGAAAGTATTTTGAGATGGCAATTCCCTATTTAAATAGTCAAAAAGTAGTATATAGGGCGAGCCTTTGAGAATTCAAGATTGAGATATATTCCACGACATATCAATGACAGTATTAAACTGTTCTGAAGTGCTGTTTATGATACGTCATCAGTCATAATTAGCTGTCTTTCTATAGAGGAGTTTATGCATTCCGGCGATAGGCACGACTGTCAAAAAGTTGTTGAAACACTCAATCGTATATTTATATGCAATAGGTTTTTCTTAAAATTATATTTTCACGATATTGCTTGCAATGCATAAAAATTTATGAGTACTTCCCGAAAAGAAGGACAAAGTTTATATATATATATATATATATATATATATATATATATATATATATATATATATATATATATAGATAGATAGATAGATAGATAGATAGATAGATAGATAGATAGATAGATAGATAGATAGATATAATTCCTTAATGTTGAAATACATGTATAACTATTTCTTATTTCTTATGCTTTTTACAGACATTGGTACTCCAACCGAAACACATGCTTTCATTTCATACATGGTGTCAGTAAGTACAAATTCCAAATATTGATGAACAGGACACACCACAAACCCCCTACTTACGAATACCCTGAGAATCAAACTATATGACATAATCTTAATGTATTCTTTGTGTGTGTGTTTGTTTCTTGTTAAACGTCCCTCTAAAGATTTTTCTCTCATATGGAGCCGCCACCACTTGCCGGTGGAGGACTGCAAATTTATACCTATAATCGGCACTAAGGGCCATTGAACAGTGAGGGATCTTTTTCGTATCAACACCTACTGCGACACGGGACCTCGGTTTATACGGTCTCATCCGAAGGACCCGTCTCCACGTCCCACTGTGGATTCGAACCCGCGACGTAAGGATCACCTCCTTACTCCGCAACTCTAGAGCAGACGCTCTCACCACTGCACCACGCGGGCGACATATATTCTTTGTAAAGAAAAAAAAAGGGAAAAGAAAGAAAATGGCTCAAACAAGCATTATATAAAGGATAAGTAAGCATGCACACATATCAATCTTTAATATCTGTAGATGTATGTTTGTGTATATTTTTTTTAAGATTTAAAGATTTAACTTTTCACATCGAAAACTTATAATTATATCCTGCAAAAATATTTATCATCCGAATGTACGAAGACCTATTCTTGAGGGCAGTCCTTTCCTAAATTACCTGTAGTATAAACTTAGTAACAACATATTGATCTTGTGAATGACTTTTCAATGAAATATGTAGATAACGTACAGTATTCAAGCTCATACTCCATTTAAACAAAAGAAATCGGGAGTAGAGCAAATACGAACCTCTAAAAACATCATAGTCGGGATCAGTTGCCATGGGGGAGCAAGCATCCCCTGTCGACCGGTCACATCCACCGTGTGCTCCTTGTGATGATCGGGTAAGCGGAAAAATCCGTAGAAATATCAACGTGCAAATAATGGCCTAACAATAAGTATGAAAAACGTCAGTCAACATTTGACCTAATGATAGATTGTATTTGCTGATAAGGTCATTGTATCGACCATAGAACTTGAGAAATGATATTTCAAACGTGATTGTTGATAACCTTGTTTCATCAACTTGTTGGTTAATAGCTTGCCTCGTTTTAAAAATTGATCGTACGTAGAGCATGCTCTTGCGTATCGAATCAACTGGGAGACATAAACCCCATATGCAGGTGATAAGGGTATATTGCTACATAAGTGAGGAAGTTGATGATAGAAAAGTTGAAGTCATCACGTTTATCATGAAGTTTTGTTGTTAGGTTACCATGAACGCCTTTTTCTAGTAAAACATCCAAATGTGAAACAGATGTGTCCGACTCTGTAATGCTTTTTATTTGAAGTTCACTGGGATATATTGAATCGGCATATGTATGGAAGTAACTATTGTTAATTGATAATACGTCGTCGATATATCTAAATGTCGAGTTGAAGTCAATTTAAAGATTTACATTTACGACTTGTATATTGATTTGTAGAGAAAAAATAATACTAGTGATTGTTAAATGTATATATATAATTCTCATTCTTTTGTGATTCTGATGTGTTATCCGAATTATTAAGCCCGGTGTGTCTTTTTTAAAATTATTTAATAATGTCATCTTTTTATTTATTTATTCAGCATTTGAACCAAGAGGCTGCTCAACACTCTACGACCTAATTGTCCTGTTTCAGACTCTACTTCATTAAATTATCTGCGGTTTTCCCTTTACTAAACCTATTAGTTGTGTACTTCAGTTATTTGATTGTAATTGTAGAGATTACAAAAGCATAACCTTTAACAGAACTCTTTAGTCTGATCCAAAATTACCCTTCCCCCATTCTTGAAACATGATTGACATTGCAACAGAATAAGAATACGTCATGTAGAAAAATACAGCATCGAAGTATAGTATATTGAACAGTACAGTATTGAAGAAACGCTTCTCCCTAATATAATAGATAGTTTCTGTAATGGTTTTTATTTCATCAAAAGTATCAACTCGCGATCGTCATGCCTAAACCTTCAGGTTCAAATTTAGCTTCAAATCTTTATCAGTGATATCTGGAATGTACTTCATGGGCCATAAATATATAGTAAACAGTAGAAAATTAAGTCTGAGTAGAGTAAAACGAATTCTTTACTGCTTTAATTTAAGTTCTGTTTTTCTGTGAGCTCCTAGAGAAAACCAGTCCCTCTTACTTGATTTTAAGTGAAAGTTCACAAGTTGTAATATAAATAAAAATAAACTCATTTTTAATACATTACCAACAAAATTTACCCAAGAGGCAGATAAGACTATGAACTACAACTCTTCTTTTCATACCCGTTCAAAATATTTTATCTGTCCTAATTCGCAATTATTTACCAGACTCAATGCCTTTTCCTACCGCTAGTAGCGATTCCTGATGTAGGACTTTGTTTCTTGTCATCTGATTCATCAGTGCTGTAATCGAATTCCCCTGGGACTGCAATAGGAGCCCACTGCCTACTGCAGTCGATTTTGCCGACGTCTTTATTATCATAATATGAAAACAAACAATATAAATTTGTGAACAGAGCATAAAACACAGACCCCCGGAAATTCCACAGGTAGGATCACGTGCCTAGGAGGAGTAGGCTTCCCCTGTTGACAGATGTCAAACGCCGTGAGTCCTATGTATTGATCAAGTATACGGAGTACTCTGTAGTCAAGTTTAGCATAAAAGCAATAACCTAACACATGGTATCAAACATGTCAGATAAAATATGACCCAACGCTAGGTTGTATTTACAAACAATATCAATATAATAACCGTAGAATTTGCGATCATGTGATTCTAAAGAAGATTGTTGAAATCATGTAACATCAACTTATTTGTGTGTAGCTTGCCTTGGTTTAAAATTGATCGTACTCTGAGCGTGCATATTGAATCAGTCGGGAGACATAAACACGATATGCAGGTGATGTTGAAATATTAATACATGAAAAAGAAAGTTGAAGTTTGAAATCTGCATAAAGTCATCCCTTCTGTCATACAGGTTATTTATTAGTTGACCACTATCGTCTATAGTCAGTTAAACACCAAATATGAACCAAATGTGGCAGACTTTGTAGTGTCTTTTATTTCGAGTTCATTGGGATTCGAACAAATAATGTAAAAAACATAAAAATGGTAAAACCTTTCTTCTTTGTTTCAGCCATTAATGATGAAATAAATAGTGCATGTAGTTGAGAGTACATCCGCAAGAAAACCATTGTCAACCGAGTCGCAGTTGGGTGGAAATTTTCAATGTTACACTCAACTACATGCAATATTTATTATAATATACTGAATGATTTATACAAATACATATTACAGTGAACCTTGCGTGCATAAATTCTGCGCAGTCAATATTTTTGGAATATCACCCGTCGTCAAGCAATGTTGACTGTTGCTATGCTGGAGACTGTGGATTCATTATTCAGGGGGTTATAATGTTTTTTAACAAATGTTTCTCGACGAATCAGATTCAAAGTTTCAGCCATTTATATTATAAATATATCACAAATCAACAACCATGCTAACCTTTTATGATACATGTACGACATCCATTAATTATATTTATTGGATGATGATGTCACTGAAGATGAAAATGATAACTTTTCCATTAATTGTCACAAAGTCTTACACTAATGCAGCGGATTTTGTTACATTGATGTTTATTACAACACCTCAATATTTTTTTTTCATCTTGTAAACGTAATACTCCAATATATTGACCTTAAGGCGCTTTCGCATTTATTCCGAGTTTTACCCCACCCCCCTCCCGCCTCACACACACAAACACACGCACATACAAATTCAGGTCTAGCAACACATTCCTTGTTTTGTATCTATTCGTAATGTATGAAAAAATAATCCTAATTATCTTGCGATTTCGAAACTTTGTCCAAAATTTCTGAAAAAAATAAATACACCAAAAATTGTGGTATTGATAATTCAAGTGATTTCCAATTATTATACAGGAAACAGTATCCTCTGGTATCTTTCACATATGCCTGGTAAGAAGCTTTCCAAAGTAGCAATACTTCAGTGACAAATTCTTGGGGAAAATTATATTTTATTAAGATACCTGTCGTCAGAACTTTTAAAAATACCTCTTCATGTAAAGGAACCTATATCATACTTTACCTGTCTGACAGTCGTTTTTCTGCATATCTTTCATAGAATGTGCTAAGGGTTATATTTGTAATCAAGTTCAAAAGTCCATTCAAACAATATAAATCAGGAGCAGAGCAAACACGGACCTCTAAAAAAATCAGAGGTGGGATCAGGTGCCACGGAGGAGTACGCATCCCCTTTCGACCGGTCACACCCGCCTTGTGCTCATTGTCATGATCGGGCAAACGGAATAATCCGTAGACAATTCAGTTTTTAAGTAATGGCCTAACATTTAGTATATAAAATGTTAGTCAGCATATGACTTAATGATAGATTGTATTTGCTGACAGTGACATTGTATCGACCATAGAACTTGAGAACTGATGACATTAAAGAGACTGTTGATATCCTTGTTTCACCAACTTGTTTTTCAATGGCTTGCCTCGTTTTAGATATTGTTCGTACGTGGAGTATGCTCTTGCCAATTAACTGGAAGATATAAAACCCATATGCAGGTGATAAGGGTATATTGCTACATAAGTCAGGAAAGTTGACGAAAGAAATGTTGAAGTCATCACGTTTATCATAACGTTTTGTTGTTAGGTTACCATTAATTTCTTTTTCTAGTAAAATATCCTGATATGAAAATAGATGTGTCAGAGTGTGTCGTATCTTTTATTTCAAGTTCACTGGTAAAATACGTCGTCTATATATCTAAACGTCGAGTTGAAGGCCCCAGCAAGTGTCTTCTTCTCATGTTTTTGAATAAATTCTGCTTCATATGAATACAAAAATAGCTCTTCTTACAATGGGGTGCAATTACCCATGGGAATTCCAACAGATTGTTAGAAGACCTGATCTCCAAAAAGTACATACTTAGTAGATGTTGTCAATCAGAAACTTAAACATCTTTT